ATCCCCTGCAATCCGTATGGGCCTTAGCACAGAAGGGTCTGACTTGGAAGGGACCCAGCAGAGGAGAGGAAAAATAAAAAAAGGGTGGTTTTTTTCCCCCCCTCCTTTTGCTGATTGAATATTTGTTTTATATTGAAGTGCCTGTAACTAAACAGGAGGAGGTTGTTTCCAAGAGGAGAAAGCATTAACATCCTGTCCCTTAGGCTGAGACTAAACATCATCCACCTGCTTTCTAGATCCTTGATGGAGAAATGGGATCTTCACGATATTTATGAACCCCCAGACTCAACTATTTAAAACTGAACTAAAACTATTTAAAGATGGGCTTGACTTCAACTTAACTATTTAAAACTACTAAAACTATTTAAAAATAGACTTAACTGGGAGGGTTCAGGAGTTAAAAAAAGGGAGGGAAATGCTGTCTGAGAGCTGCATCAGACCTTCAAAATTACCTGGAATGTGACAGAAAATCATGCATTTCCACAGGTGACTGTTGGGTTCAGTGCCTCAAGTTTAGCAAGGGTTAAAACATTTTTGTTTCTCTGGAAGAAGAAGAAGAAAAAGAAGTTTACAATGTGCCAATGGCTTAAAAATGTGTAATAAACAAGGGCACGTAGCAAACGAGCTGTCCAGAGGATTTATTTAGTAACAAAAGGAAGCCATCACTGATACACTCCCTAAATTTGGGTTTCCATCGCCCTAACACGCCACTTGTCACGAGTGTGGGGTCAGGATCGGAGCGAATCAACCCAAAAGCAGGCCTGCCCCCCTTCCCTGAAGTTGTGGGAACACATCCTATCGCAGATGCCGCCACGCAGGAATGAGCTACCAAGAAAAATGAGATGGGAAAAGCAGCAATTCGTGGGCCAGAGCCAAAATCACGGGCGCCTGAGTGCCCAGGGTGCTGCTGACCTGGCTCTGAGCTCACTCCTGAGAGACCTTCTCAAATGAGGGTCTTGACCTTGGTGGGAGCCCTTCCAGTGACTTTTGGATGTGTCCCTGTATCAGTAACATGGAGTTGATATGAAAACTGCTGACTCGACAGCACAAGGGAACTTGAAGGGGTGAAAAGAGCTTTTAATTTAATTTTGAACCACATTGGTTAATGTAAATCGTGGCAGGGAGAGGGAACTGAATAGTCCATATCAGGAAGGTGACAAACACGCATATTTTCCAAGTGGTGATTTGATAAATAATTATTAATCGCCTTGATACATTAAAGTCATCGGTGCTGTAGAGGCCCAAGTTCTCAGGAAGAAAGGGATCATGATTTCAACCACCTGGCTGAACCAAGACCCCACCTGGAGCCCTTCCTCCAGCTCCAGGGTCCCCAGCACAGGACAGACACGGAGCTGTCAGAGTGAGTCCAGAAGAGGGACACGGAGATGATCAGAGGGACAGAGCAGCTCTGCTGTGAGGAAAGCTGAGAGAACTGGGATTGTTCAACCCTGAAAAGAGGTTTGGGGGTGACCTAATTGTGGCCTTCCAGTACCTGAAAGGAGCTAAAAAGAAACAGGGAGACAGACTGTTTACAAAGGCCTGGAGTGACAGGACAAGGGGGAATGGCTACACACTGAGAGAAAGTAGCTTTAGGTTGGATATTAGGGGAAAATACTTGGCTGTGAGGGTGGTGAGGCCCTGGCACAGTTCTCCCAGGGAAGCTGTTGCTGCCCCATCCCTGGAAGTGTCCAAGGCCAGGTTGGACAGGGCTTGGAACAACCTGTGATAGTGGAAGGCGTCCCTGCCCATGGCAGGGGATGGAATGAGATGATCTTTAAGTTCCCTTCCAACCCAAACCATTCCACACTTTTATGATCTTGGACTTTGATGGTGGGACTTGATGATTCTCCACCAAAACAGACTGTACTTTGCTGTGAAGTAAATCTTGCTTCTTTTAAGTATTTTAATATCTCCTTTTAAGACAAAACACATAAGGATTTTTATCAATTCCTGCGTTTTTCAAGTGACACAAGGATTTTGGAATTTTTTTGCCAGAATATACATAACTCCTGGTTTTTGAGACTGACCATAGAACAGCATGAGGGGGAGTATTTGTGGGATGTTTGATTTGTAGCACAATCACATGCCAAAATTTATTACGGAGAATAGCAGGAGAGCCTAAGCAGAGCTGACACACGGAGCAAGGGCCTGCTGTTTGCTTTCCATCAGGAGTTTGTCTGGAATTTGCATTTTTAGACTATGCTGAAAGCTCTGTCTCTGTTTGGGGGACAAGCTCAGAGGTTTGCTGAGTGGTGGCTTGGCTCCCACCCAGGAGAGCTTCGGGAAAAGGCTTTTTGAAGCCCTCCCTGCACTTCCACGGTCGGATTCTTCCCGACACAAAGATCAGTTGAACAGCAAGAGGTAGGAATTGTCCACCAAGGGAAACTACTTGTACCAGCCTCTTTATATCCTCCCCAGAACATTGTCACTCCAGGATCCTCAGCTATTGAACTCATGTGATTCTATGCATGTAAAGAGGTCCAGGTTATGTCAGTGAGCCACTGGACATGGATCTCTGGATCCTGGAAGGGATGAGCAGGGCTGCAGTCCAGGCTGCTCTTTCCAAAGTCTGCAGCATCCTCTGGTGGAGCCGTAAGGAAGGGAGAGCCATCCACGGAAGAGGCACAACGAGGTTTCATTTGGGGTCTCCAAAAATGCACCCCAGTTTTGCTCCAATTCACCAGTGCCCCCATGCCAAGTAGGTGATGCTGTGTATGGAAAGCTTCCGGCCACCCAGCAGCCAGCCTGGGATTTGGGAGACATTTCCATTCCTTGTTTTGCTGGAGCTGTCCTGGCTGACCCTGGGTGAGTGTCTGATGGGTCAGGAGCAGAACCTGTAGCCTGACTGGCAGAGCTGACTCCCAGCTTCTCCCCTTTTCCTGTTCTTAGTCACCACGATCAGAGCCCGAGGTATTTCTTCACTCCCAACCAAAGGAAACACTCAGATAAAATCTGAGCTCCCAGGCTGCGATTCTTTCCTGGATTTTGTTGTGTTTTGGCTTAAGGGGCAAAACAAGTTGCTTTATTATGACATTCCGGGGCCTGGAATGTTTGACTCACCACAGGGCACCCAGGTTCAGCGTCTTCCTCAGATTGAGAGGGTTTGGACACCTCTGGGCTGCCTCCCACCCATTTTCATCCCTCCTCTTGTAACTCCAAAGAAAAATTAAGTGATCTGGAGAGAGCAACTATGACACCCTTTCTCCCTCTTCCCACACAGCAACCAGGATGCCCAAGGGAGATGTGGGGAGTGTGGAGCCTTCCTTCTGTTCTAGGAAGCTCCTGAAGTGTACAAGAGCAGCCAGAACATTTGGAGAATCGAGTGAATCTCCTGAGAAAAAAGACTGGTGGATGGAGGGCAGCGTGAAATCCAGCCCGGAGTCATGCAGCCGCTGGCGTGCCGAAGGTGCAATTCCAGAATCCCTTCTGGGCCGCTCGGGTAAAGATTGACACGCGGATACAGCCCGGCGCTGCCAACTTCTCCAGCAATTCACTCAATCCTTGTGAAAGCAAGACTAAATTGGCCGGGAGCCTTCACTTCATCTTCCCTCCCAACTCCTCTGGGTGAGAACTGTTGAGCAGACCAGGTTTCTGATAAAGTAAAAGCAAACACCATTCCCTCGTGCTGAGATACAGGAATATTATCCTGACATTTTAGCATGGATCACTCATATTGCTGCCCGTTCTCTCCGCTCCAAGAGCTATGTCTTGACAATAGAAACATTCCCCGACTACAAACAAAATAATCAGGGTTGAAAACCAAATTCAGGGTGGAAACATTCCCTCCTCCATGGGAGTGATCCATCAGGCTGGATTTACCTCTCAGACTCTCCCAGCCTAAGCAAATTGAGTTTGCACAAGTTATTTTTATTTAAAATATTTTGATTTACAATATTTTTATTCTGTCTTTCCTATAGTAGTCTCGTTTTCAGGGAAATGCACAAACATTGTCTAATATCAGGCCAAAAGCTTGATAATTACAGGGTCAGGGCTCAAATTTGTGTGATAGGAGTGTAAAAAAGAAAGGTAAACAGCACAGATGTCAGCCTCTTCCTGATTTATTTTTATGAAGGAATTTCTTTTACATTTCCTCAAGGAATTAAAATCGTTCAACATTTTTTTACAAGTCATTACAATTTCAAGATTAAATCTGCACTTAGTTAAAAAAAAAAAAAAATGCACCCAAGGAGGAATTTATCTTGGAAACAAGACTGGTGTGTTGAAGTACTTGGCAGCCCACAGATTTGTCCCATACGTTGGTTGTTTAAAATGATTTTATGTGATAAATAACAGGAATGTGGGATCACCAGTGGGAAATAGCAGTTTGTGCTTCTCCTAAGCCCAGGTTTACCCTGTCAGAGTTAGGAGCTGGTTTCTATAAACATCTCTCTTAACACTGGCAGTGTTATCTCCCAGTATCCACAGCGGATATCCCAGGCAAAGAGCTGGATGTAGCTGGCACAGCAAACCGGGCTCTATTATAACTCTGTTTAATTCACCTGGGGAAACGAATCCACTGAGGCCAATTGAAACTGATTGAACACCGAGACCGGGTGCTTGGAAAGCGCGAAAACAATTTTTTTTTTTTTTTTTAATTTCGCGTTGATTTGGGCTGTGGGGGTTTTTTGCGGGTTACGCGTCGTTTCGGGGTGGGGTTTTTTGCGGGTTTAGTGTGGTTGGTTTTTTTTTTTATTTTCCCCCAGCTTTGTTGGAACCGCCCTGCCCTCACCCAAGATGGCGGCGGGGCTGAGGCGACGAGGCGGCGGCGGCCATCTTGGTTTCGGGCGGGAGGCGGCGGAGGGTAAGGGCGGCCACGGGCCGGGAGGGACCCCCGGGATGGAGCCCAGGAGCGTCGGGAAACTCCTCCGGGAGCGATCCCGCCTCCTCCTCCTGCTCGGCGGGAGGGCGACCCCCGGGCCTCGCCGCCTCAGGGACCGCCGGGGAGATACCCCCCGCGCAGGCGGCAGATGCCCACCCTCCATGTCCCCTCACGTCCCCGTGCCCTGAGAGGCGGCTCCCGCTGGTGCCAAGCGCTGGGTTAAAACAATTCCCGCTCTCTGGTTTCCCTGCAGGATTTAATAAATGAAAACGCAGAAAATGCGCGCGGCTCTGCCGGCGGCACAAGGAGGAGCAACACGGCGCGGGATCATTCCCGGAGGATGGTGAGCCGTGGTCCCGTTCCAGCCGGGAAGCGGGCGCGGCCTGGATTTCCTCGTGGGAGGAGCCTTTCCAGGGCTGTATCGAAGGTAATGTAACCAGGCAGAAATTGAAGGGCTGCGTGTTCTAAAAAAAAAAAAAAATAAAAAAAAAAATCCCAAAGTTTAAGACTTTTGGGGGAATTTGGCCAGCAGTGTGCTGGAGGATGGATGGAGATTGTTCTGGAGCATAAACTGAGGTTTTTCTGGTGGGCAGATGGAGATACTCTAAAGGATAAATTGAAATTTTTCTGGAGCGTTAATGGGGATGCCCCGGGAGGATAAATTGAGATTCTCTGGAGCAGGAATGGAATTTTGTCTGGAGAATAAATGGAGGCTCTCTGGAGCGTAAATGGTAATTTTCCTAGAGGAGAAATGGAGAT